CGGATTAGCTACAGTGAATAAAGCGCGGTGTGGCAGACGAGAGCTGGGCATACGCAATACGTGCCCTAGCCAGCGAAGTCTAGTAATTTGAATTCAGTATGCTAGCAGATTTATACCTGATAGACCTCCAAACACACGACTGCTTACCTCCATGTTACTAACCCGTTCGCTCCATCCAGCATGGGCTAAACTGCGTAAACACCAGTAATCGAAAACTTCTAGTCGACGGATATCTTCTACTCGCAAACTCGAGGCCTCACAACCATAAAGCAGAACTGAACGAACGCTAGCACAATATACACGACCTTCCAACTTCAGTGAAACGTCGCGTCTACGTCAAAGGTAATTTAGTCTTGCGTATGCTGCTCGAGCCGTGGAAATCCGGGCGGTTATCTCTTTCGCTGCGTAACCGTCATTGGTCACGCAACTACCTAAGTAGGAAAAATAATCCATCATAACTAAATCCTGACTATTTAGTTTCAGAGCACATACCGAATGTGGCCACTGCACTTGTTGGTCTATCAAGTGCACTATGCGCGTCCTCCATACATTCGAACAGACAGACGACGTCATCGGCGTACTCCAAATCACACAGCTTTTCTCCAGCTGTTCATTCAATACGTACGTTTTCGAGTCCCCCTAGTGCGCTCTCCAGTATTTCGTCTGCGACGAAATTGAACAGGAACGGCGAAAGAGGGCATCCTTGACGAACGCCGCTGCTGGTGACGAACAGCCTACTTAGTTCGTTGTAGACCCTTACACGACCGGATGTATTTGAGTACAGTGACCTCAGTAGGTCAACGTACTTCTGGGGCATTCGTTTTCGAACAAGAGAGCCCATCAGAGCTTCGCGGTCAACTGAGTCGAAGGCTTCTTCCAGGTCAAGGAACACTGCGATCGTTGGCCGACGATGGGTATGACGCAGCTCAAGGAACTGACGCAGGGTAAAAATGTAATCAATACATCCACGGCGGGGCCGGAATACGGCTTGCTGTTCACGGTGTTGGTCTCTCTTAAAGGCATCAGACGTCGAAGTATAACCGAAGCTAGCACTACGGTGACGATCGGGATCAAACTTATCCCGCGGTGGTTTTCGCAATTGTTGCGACATCTTTTCTTGAAAATGGTAACAATCAGTGATTCGCCCCAAGATGAAGGAATGCGCTCTTGCGTCCAAATGTTGCGCAGTAAGGTAGTAACACAGCTTACGATATTATCACCTCCCACCTTGAAAAGAGCGGGAGGGAGCTCATCTGGTCCTGCTGCCTTTTCTTGCTTCAGAGATTGAATGCAAGACCGAACTTCTGCTTCCGTTGGAGGATCGTATCACACTGCCCACGGAGCTTCAGTCGGAGATGAAGCAGCCTGGTGTGCACTAGGTCAGCTGAACTGTTCGTTGAAGTGTTCTGCCCAGCGATCGAGTCGTTGATCCCTATTGTGAATAGCTCGTCCCCTCTTATTGCAGACTATTTCACTAACTGAAGTTCACCGATCTCCCGTATTGCGTATCAGTCGGAACAGTCTTTGACTATTCACTGCTGCAGCTGCTACTTCCATTTCACTAGCTATTGTTGCCCACCAGTTCTCACAGTCCTTCTTGAGACTCTTCGTGAGCCGACGTTCTAGCTGCCGCCTCACTCTGTTTTTATCCTGGCAGGTCGGGACTTGCCGTTTTTGCTCCATCAGGACTACCGACTCCTGAGACATCCAATGCATTCGGCGGGTTTGAGGCTTAGACCCACAAGCAACATTCGCGGCGGAATGCACTGCTCGTCTAATCTGATCCCACTGCTCGTCTACATCATCACGTTGAGGCACACTTAGCTTACGCACTAGCTCTGACTCATAGCGTGGACGAACGGCTGGAACAGATAGTCGATGATGAGCTATCCGATTTTTCTGGTTTTGTCGCCAACCAGTCAGTCGGAGAGTGAACTGCATCAAAACTAATGTGTGGTCAGACTCAACACAGTTGGTCCAACAGGACCTGCAATTTTGTGCTGAGCCACGCCAACGGTAACTTACTGCTATGTGGTCGATTTGAGTTAGCGTACCAGTTGAACTGGAGCGCCACGTTGCCGTCCGTCGAGAACTGTGTCGGAATTGGTGATGGTCTGCGCAGAACTGAAGAAGTCGATCGCCGTTATCTGTTCGTTGGCTGGGACGAGCACAACTACCGCCTAGGCAAGCTTCTGATGCGCTTAGTTTTCCAACCTGCGCGTTGAAGTCACCTGCAAGTAGAACTATGTCGGAGCTTCAACTCATCCGAATGAGATCGGTGAGTTCATCGTAGTAAGCGTCCTTTTGGGTATCAGATCTGCAATTGGTCGGTGCATATGCTGATACGATAAACAAACACTTTTTGGTGTTTGGACGCTGATTGAACCCTGGAGACGCACTGCACATAAATGACTGTTGACGGGGATTCAACCGATAAGAGAGGACTCCGCCCGGTTACTGAGTATGATACCTACTCTGCGCTGACCTACTGAACGAGCTTCATCGTCGCCTGATGTGCGAAGAACGTATCTCGTCGACAAATCTGGCGCGCTCAAGTGGCTTATTGTGGTAGGATCCTGGATCCGAGTTTCCGACACGCAACAAATATCGATTCCTAAGGATTTCATTGTACGAGCCAGACAAGCTTGTTGACCTAGCTGCATCAAAGTCCTCACGTTGAAGGCCCCCAGATTAAGTGATTGACGAGGCTTTAGAATCTGCAATCCATTTCGTGGTAAATTATTTACAGTGCTATTTGGCAACGACCTTTGGCGAGCGACATCCAAGTTGCTTGTCCTTGCTTATAATTATATTCTGCTGGAAGATTAGTTGACTTCCTGAATATCTCAGACAGCAGTTTTCCATCGGCGCTGGTTGGTGGTGGGATCAGTGCGAATAGTGATAAATCAACGAAATCCATAAATGTAGTATATGCCTAGGCTCTCCACAATCGATATCACCCGGTTCACCCGTGTTTTAGATTGGCCCTTGGGCGCACACAGAAGAATCGCACGGATGCAATCTGAAATATTATCCACCCTACCATTCGATCATTGTGATCTCTGGCGCAGCTCTAACCCCCCCCCCCCCC